GTGTTTAATCTGATCTTTGCCATTTCTTCCCATCGGTACAATGCTTAAACCTCCAAAACTTTAACAGGCATTTTAACACAATTCTGATGGATTCCTAAAATAAAATTATGATTATTGTTACTGAGCTACTACAAAAGATATAGAGCAATATTTTTTTGTCAGCAATATCCATACCATTGAAAAGTTGTTAGATATTATATTATATTTATTGTTAATCACTAGGGATGTAACAATAACTGAAATATTGTGATATCGTATCGTCAGAGTTCTCACAATAATATCGTGGACCATCACAATATATCGAATTTCAAGTCTCTTTGCTTAAAATTAAGAGTTATGGTGCAGCAATAGCTAAAAAAAGACAGAGGCAACTACATAGACCATGATCCTTTGCTCCATTTCAGTGTAGGCTACAAGAAGAAATACAGTTCTAAGCACTTTTAAGTTTTATTTTTTTGCATTAAGTCTTGTTAAGGCATTTTAAGAGGAAAAAGAAGCGTATTCACAGTTTTGTTAGTCTCCACAAAATATCACAATAAATATTGTACAGTGAGATGTATCACGTGAAAATATCGTACTGAGAGATTTGGATTTTGTTACATCCCTAATCGTGAGCCTTCCCAACATATCGTGAACTTTCCCACAATATCGCAATAAATATCGTACTGTGAGGTTCATACCGTGACGATATCGTATCGTGACACTTGGATATTGTTATACCCCTATTAATCAGTATAGCAACAGTCTATAACAGCCTATAACAGCCTATAGATACACAATAGGACAGATAGTAATAATATTTTAATAAAAGTCAAGATAAGTGTTGGAATAATAGCATTTGCAAGGAATAATAATATAAGTAAACTAAAGATAAAAACAAAGATTGTCACAACAACGACATTTGCATGATACTGTGACAGAGTTTAGATAAATCCTGGATTAAAGGTAAGTGGAGTGATTCAAAGTGGTTTAACCTGAAGTGAAGGAGTGGGAGCGGCGCTGGCTGCTGGGCCCGTCCTGTGCGCTCAGAGGGAGAGACAGCGGAGCAGAGTCTGTGGAGCCTACAGGCGTTTGAGTCACTGTCTGTGTCAAACTGTAGTCATCCTCACCAGCTGGAATAACAACAACACTCTCAGTTTGTACCGTCATGTCCAGAATGATCATATAAACAATCAAATAATGAGAAGTTATGAAATGTATTATTCATGTGAGTAGCCTTTGAGAAATAGAAAAAAGCTTTAGCTCCCCCAAGTGGATCACAGCCGAACTACAGTTAAAGTAAAAAAAAAAAAAAATTAACAGCATTATGCCATATTACATCCTTGGTCTTTGTAATTACCAATTCAAAATGACTTCATTATCTTTAATAGCGTAGATGAAGATGAGTTTCTTCTATTGCGTTTTTTTTTTAGATTTTGGTCAATGTAATTCTCACAAAGTCTGTATCTCTACTTTCCATCTGCGCATTTGATGTAAGTAACTTTACTCAACACTTAAACTAAGATGCTTTATACTGCATTATTCATTCAAGCAGCTGCCCTGAGTCTGAGTGAGAGAAAGTGGCTGCCTCTTCGACCATCACTAATCACCTATCCACACATTGCATTCATATCTGTACAAGGTGATTGAAGTGGCTTGCTCAAGGGCACAGTGGAATGCACTGGCTGAAGCTGGGGCCAAATTGATCACTGTCCTTATATGAGACAAAAACTCTACCACTTGAGCCACAGTTGCCTCTATTTAGGTGATGATTTCTATTAAAAAGAAGCACAGAGCTGCTCCGTCACATTAATTGCCATGTTTTTATTGTGGCTATGTATTTTTAATAATAACAAGTAACTAACAGAGGAGGTAGGTGAAAACTAAAGACACCTGAGCCTCAAATGTTAGATAATATAGGATTTCTTAAGCATGCAAAACCAAGAACCACTAGAGTAAGCTAATGAAGAAGGAACAACATTATCACATGGTTAAAAATATAGTGTAACTTCTATCTGACAGCTCGTCTTACCCCATCCCCCCTCAGCAGAGGAGGGGTCCTGCTTCTCCTCTGCGCTCCTTAGATGACCCTGTGACATGGGACTGAACTCTCTCCGGATGAGCGAGGTTTGGGCGGAGCCTCGTGATTGGAGCCGCGGGAACGTGGAGGTGACTTCGGGAGAGGAGGGGCATCCAGAGCACGGAGAGGGCGACCTGAAGGTAGGAGTGGGGGATAGAAGCATTAGTATCAATATTTAATTCCATTTTAGAGTTATATTTATTCTTTGCTTTAAATACAGCTCTACAGAATGTACATATTACATAGTGATTTTATCTAAGCAGTTCCAATAAAAGGGAAACTAATTAGAATCAGTAGCAGCAAAAATTATACAACAGCATAAAAATGACAATGGGGATGCCTGAAAAAATTCTATTGTATGTAATAAAATTCTTACACATATTTTAGCTGTACATATGACTGAAAGGTTTTTATTCTACACTCTTCTCTTTTAATGTTAATTTTGTGTTAATTTTATGATGATTATTTACGCTTCTATTTTTTTTTTTATTATTCTGTAAAGCCCTTTGTCTGTGTAATTCCAGGTAGGATCCATAGAAAAAGAAAATGTTATTCTGTCAGCTGTAAAGCCCTTTGAATTACTTTGTGTATGAATTGTGTCATACAAATAAAAGTGCCTTTTCAGATTTTCTTCTGCTCTGTAATGTGCTCCTGTACATATTGCCTCTAGTCAAATAAATAAATAATAAAATATATCAATTTATGTTTTATCTTACACAGAGAATGGAAGATCCACGTCTCTGCAGACCCCTGATGTTACAGAGCTACCCTCGGGACGCCCTGTTAAAAAAAAGAAAAATCAACCCTGGGCAACACTATAAGTAACATTTAGCATACTGTCCAAAACTGCACCACAATGAACCACCCACAAAATGATATAAAACATAGAAAAATACAGGCATGTATCTCTAAAACTGGTGTAAAAACTTTATTAAGCAATACTGCAATTATATCAAGGTATTATAATTTCTGACAACTATTCAGCTGTACAGTATGAAGTATATTCTGTAGTCATCTGTAAGAGCATCAGTAACACACTTTTTTACTGTTTCTTTATAAACTACATATTTAGATAAACAAAAAATAGTAAGTGGCCTTGTATAGCCTACAGTAAATCAAAAGTGTAACCAAAACTGTGGTGTAGCATGAGTAGGTACCTGTATTTGCTTGTATTTTCATGATCCATTTCTTCATCAGAAAACGTGAGGAGGCGTTGAGCAGGTATTCAGAGCCGTCTCTCAGCCTGAGGGTCAAAGTAAATGCATTTGTTATCACACAAACAGAAATGGACCCGGCATATAATATTACAGGGATATACCATCTTGCCTAGGCCTGCCATGGTAACAAATTTTGAAGTACGATATATTGCTTAAGAAAATATAGATAAGAAATGATAATATTGAAAAAACTATTGCCATTGACATAACACCCCTAAAGCAGGATTATCCCAAAAAACTATTCTTAATTTACAATACTGTTAAAAAAACATGAGCTGTAATAAATAAAAAAGCACACTGAACACTTTAGTAGTTACTTTGTATCTGTAATGAGTCATATAAGTTATTTATTCAGTTTTTTTAAGATTAATTTATTTATTGTAGAACAGGAAAAGTAACTAAAAGTTCCCCAGTAGTATTAAGAAAAAGAAGCACGATAAATATTGACCCAAAATTATTGTTCCATCTAACATATATTGAATGATAGTTGATATAGTAATTATGGTGACAGGCTTAGTCTTACCTGAGGTGGAAGCAGTTTGGTTTTTTGGTGTACTCTGGAGCTGGGACACACTCTGCTCCAATGAGATTTAGTGGAAGACCACAGCTGGAACTCTATATGAAATACATTTGAATTATTACCTTAAGTATTAGGTTTGGTATCATAGAATTTTCTTTGATCCTTCTCCTCAGATGTTAAGTTAACATGTATAAATAAAATATTGCTTTTACAGGTAACTATTGTGATACTTTTTTTTTCACAATTACAAGAGAAAGAAAAAAATCATTCACATTCTCAATTTTGGTTCTCAAGACATCCATTCAAAAAGCAGAATGGGCTCTTTTCATTGGGTGCCAAATCCTATGACTTATGGTAAATCCAAAAAGCTCTCTAAAATATGACGCGTCTTCAAAATATGAGCCAATGACATCATGTTACAACAGATTTATGTATCAATGAAACCAGCTTTTGTCCTTTTATTTTGCTTACCCTCAGAATGTCCTTTCTATCCTGGTAGAAGCATAAGGTGTGTCTATATAGGACAGTGTGGTAGGAACTCCATCCCCGAGAGGCTGCCTGAGAAAATAAGATAAGAACAGTGTTGCTGACTGAGCTTGGCCTTTGCTGACCACACCACTATTACTACTAGTAGTGGCTTCTTTTTACTTTTACTGCATTTGAGAGCAGCTCTGTACTTTCTACTCCATTGAACTTTCGAACTGGACTAAAATGTAAAAGGAGTTTTTCTCATATGTAGTTTGAGACCTGCTGAAATGGCTGAGAGACTTATTTTTATCATGTTCATTGTCTGATCAAACAAAAAACATACAAATACAAATTAGTTCAGTTGCTTCAGTTGAAAAAAAAATCTGCAATTCTTGATCAAAATCACACTTTCTGAAACTAGTACTGGTATTTTTACTAAAGTAGATTTTAAAATGTAATATTTTTTGTTCCAGTATCCGTTATTTAAATAATAAAACTGAATACATCTTCCACCACTAACTACTATGACTACTCCCTGTACTTTTGCTTCTGTTACACCGAATGTGGCTTTCTTACTTTCTTTCCTCCTAGCTGTAGTCTCTGCTTTCTCTCCAGGGTCCCCTCCATGCTCTGCAGCTCTGGGCTCTGAAATGAAACATGGATAAGCACCCTGGGACATGCTTTCACTTCTATGACTAGTGCTGGTGATATGTAATGTCACAGGGGATGATTTTACCAAAGTAATACAACGCCCTCCAGTGGCTGTCGTGTGTTCCTGCGTTTCCATGTGCTCAGATGTCGGAGAGGTTTGTTGACAGTTCACCTCCTCACCCTGAAGCACAGAGAAGAGGCTCAGTGAGTGATACAGTGTCACGAAGAAAAACAAAATCCTATGTGACGACAGCAGGTGAGTAATGTGATGTTTATGCTCACTAATTGTGGGTTGGAAAATAAAACAAAGATATTTAGGAAGAAAAACATTGGAGTGAGTCTATTTATAACCAGTTTCAACCCAGTTAGATATAGCTGAACAACAATTGGTTGAATTAGTACAATCAAAACTGTTATCAATGTTACTAAAAGCCCTGTGCATTACCTTGGAACAGCTTGTGTGCTCCTCTTCCTCTTCATCCTCTCTCTCATCCTCTTCCTCTTCTCTGTACTGGTAAATGTACCTCTGGCTGTCCTCTATCTCTGGCAGCTTCACTGGATCGGACGCAGGTCTCATTCACTGCCACAGTCGTCCCATTGGAGGGGCAGGAAGAGGAGGAGGAAGGGGGGTCTCGATTTGGGAACGCAGCCCAGGACCTCCTCTCCCCCACAGCCAGGGAAGAGAGGTGCCGATTGGGACACTTGTCATACCCCAGTAAACTTTGGACGGAAGGTGGAAGTTTGAACTCTGCCACAAGAAGATTAGGAGCAGAGGCGGTCACTAAATTTCTGTAGAGAACAGCTGGACTTTTGGGTGCAGGGGGTGAAGAAGGTTGAACAGGCTGATCAGCTGAGAGCGTTTCATCTTGATTTGGTTGGTACATAATATCTGAGCAAATACTGTTTCTTAAATTTTGACTCCAAATTCCTTCCAGCTCCTCCTCTTCTTCTTCAAACTGCTGGTGGTCCACATGGACAGCGTCTGATTCGAATTCACTTGTAGAAGACGCATTTGTTTTTAATTCGCTGTTGCTGGGAATGCATCCTACCTCCAAAGACATCATTTTACCCACAATCCCTTTGGGTGGAGGATTTTCAACGCTGGGTATTTCTGAGGTAAGCTTAACGCTGCCTAAACTTGAGATACCAGAGTCCACTGAATCTTGCCGAATGTTTACATTTACAGTTGACTTTAGATTAACCACCATATGGGAGGCTTGGTTATGACTCTGTCCGTTATGGGGCCTTGTACACTTATGATACTTGTGCCCATTCAAGTCCTTTATAAGCGTATGGACACTCAAGCACTCATGTTTATTACAAGTTTTAATGGGGTGATGGTTGACGTAAATGGGATTCTTAATTTTGTTGGATTTCTGGTCACTTTCTTTGTTCAAAACTGTATTAGCACTGCATTCAACTTGTAATTGGTTACTACATTGGCCAGTCTTCAAACCGTGAGATTGTTGTTTCAATGTAGGTTCATCTTTTTCAATGGGACAACTTAAAGCATTTTCATTTTCTGGAGTTGTTGTAGCTAGAGCATTTCTTGTTTGTTTGAAGGAGCTGAGTGCAGTTTGTCTTTGTGAAAGTGGGTCCGGATCTTCTCCCGTTGCTTTGTTGGAGTCTGGTGGAGCAATCGTAATGATATCTTGAATACTAGGAATAAGTTTCATATCTTTAGGCAATTCAAAACTTAACACGGATCCCAGTGAGAGAAAGCGGCAGTGACTTTTAACATTATCTGCAGAAGATGATGGTGCTTCTGAGACAGCGTAAGGCGTGATGTTGTAGTCCCCTGTACATTCACTTTCAATGTCTTTCAACAAGGGATTTTTCATATAGTCTTTAGTTACGTTTTCCGGACTTTTTGCCTTCTTCCTCCTGCCTTGTTTTAGTGGCCAAGTCCGAGTATCATAATTTACTTTCTCTGAAGCACTTTTGGGAATTTCTTCCTCTTGCTCCTCTACTCCCATGATTTTCTGAATTGAATGTCTTCTAGTGTTATCTCTCTTGCGTTTCCGTTTCTTGCCAATCCTCTTGAGACTGCTGAAGATAGAAGTGCTCCCCCCGGTGGACAAGTGGTAGTTGGTCATCTGGGAAGTGTTTGCTGGTGTGGATGGGGAGGAAGGAGGCGAGGGGGCTGAGTGGTGCTTTAGACGAGGCAGGGTGATGCTCTCATACACAGGGCCAGATGCCAAGCTGTTCTCCTTGACATGCAAGTAGGTACTTACCTAAAGAAACAGAGAAAGTGATATCATGAATGTGATATTTACTGCAGCGGTGAATGTGTCAGCATGGCTCTCAAAAGGCCTTGTCTGTTTTCAATGAAATTCAGAACTCAAGTTGTTGGTTTAGTCCCTACAGCTATCATAAATATAACACCACAAAAGAGACTAGATCAGGAATACTCCAAGTCAACAACAACCCAGAGCCTTTAAATTAGTCCTGTCTGCATGTAAATTTTACAGGCAAAACACTGATGCAGTGGGTCCTTGGCACGCTAACACATTTTAGTTTAGTTTCAGCCCACCATGGAGAAACAGCTGGGCATCCCTGGACAATAGACTTGCATCAAAACATGAAACTCGCTACACAAAAGCCAAGGTGAACAGAGAGGAGAACTAAAGTACCTCATATGTACTACAGTAGGGCTGGGTATCATTAAAACGTTGCCAATACGATACATACCTCGATACATAGGCCATGATTTGATACATATCTCGAAACAGTGAACTTTCTATTCCATACAATATATTTAAAAATAATTCGATATGGTTCAATAAAAAATAATGGCTAAATCATGGCTGTGATACTAAAAGTCTTTGTTAAACCACTTCTTGTGCAAAATGAATATTAAACACACCCTTTTTAATAATCAAATCTGTGAATATGTCAAATAAATGAGTTTCCTTTCCCTAAACAAGCAACAAAACTGTAGTGCTGTAACAAAATAATTCAGTAAAATATACCAAAAAATACTTTTGGAGATAAATCAGTACAGTAGCCCAGGATATTGATACTGTTTCATCAAATTAAACGATATGATATATTGATATTTCAATATTTTTGCACACCCCTTTACTACAGTATATAACACAGTTTTAGTCAGAGACAGTGGTTCATATTTGAGCTTGCTAGGGCACAATACATACATCAAAATAAAATATTTTAAATTAAAGATCCTGTGCTGGATTTTTTTTCACATTTGTTTTGCCCCAGTACAGATATATTATATTAGCAACTCTGAGGTGAAAATGTCAGTCAGTGTAAACATTGACAGCAAAAATCTGTTTTGGTTTCTGAAAGTAGTGAAAAGCGTTTATAAACTCATTGTGTGAATAACTAGGGTACTCAGATTGCATAAGGTTAGTGAGGAATAATTTTGGACCACTGCAAAACACTGCAAAAGTTATTGGTGTGGTGTTAAGCGGTTAAAGTTTCAGTAATGTAAACTACAAAAGTTATTACCGCAATGACCCATGATATAATTTCTTACATAACAATGAAGTAAGGCCATTAGACTTGCTATTCACTTCCTGCCTTTTCGTGTCTTACAGAAGAAGAATGACATGGACCCAATCTAAGCAAACTTCCAAAGACAAACATCAGCCCTGTTTAGTCTACACCACAAACTGTCCAGACAAAATGGACTCAGGAATTCACTCACATTTTTCAAACTACATAGAAAAAACATATCAAAAGGGACAGGACATGAGAACACTTCAGAGCGACCTTAATCAAATACGTATGTTATGCCGTCATATATGCAGCTGTAATGGTTTGACCTTTCAACTCACTGTGACTAATCTCATGTTGCTGTGGTAGCTCTAGACTATAAATCAACTTGTGTAGAGTCTGGGGCTTGTAGGAAAAGTTCACGGCCGCTCCTTTCCTTGATCTAGAAACAAGATTGGTGTTTGTTAAAAAGGGGTGTGACATAATATTAAGCAACCAGAAATTGTGATTATTTAGTGCCACAATATTGAAGGGATGCAGTATCTAAGGCAGGCATGTCCAAACTATGGCCCATGGGCTAAATATGGCCCTCAGAAAAAATTTTTCTTCACCCTCAGGCTTCCAGGTGAAATGTCCCAAATTACTTTGCATCACTTAAAAAATAACTTCCATCCATCCATTTTCTTCCGCTTATCCGGGGCCGGGTCGCGGGGGCAGCTGTCTAAGCAGGGACTCCCAGACTTCCTTCACCCCAGACACGTCCTCCAGCTCCTTCGGGTTTGAACACCCCTGATCTAAGGAGACAACCTGTTCATCTTTTGGTTTGGTTCGTCCCACTTAGTCAACAAATTCCCACTTTTTCACTGAAGCCATATGAATGGTAAAAAAACATAAGAAATGAAAACTTGCACACAAATTCAGTGTTGTGATATTATGTTGGCACTCATTTCTATTACAATGTCTGTGTGTTACAATTGATAAAAACGAAGGGTGTAACAATAACCAAAATATTGAGATATCGTATCATCAAAAGTCTCACAATAATATTGTGGGCCGTCACAATATATCGAATTACAATTACAATTCCTTTGCTTAAATGCATGGTTTTATAGAAGCAAGAGCTTATAAAGATAGGAAACTACATATCCCATGATTCATTTCAGTGCAAACAACATGAAGAGATATGTTTTTACTTGAGTTCTTGGGATTATGACTGAAATGATTCACACCAAAAGCTCAAGCTCAAGGTATTTTAAAAGCAGAAATGTGTCCTATCTACAATGATATTAGCCTCTCCAAAATATTGCAATAAATATCGTACCGTGAGATGCATATTGTGATAATATCGTACCCAGAGATTCGGATATTTCGGATATTATTTCATCCCTAATAAAAATTTTACATAATATGGTGATATTGCAGTTATTATCCATGAGCTTAAATGTCCATCCTTCAATTTCTCACTATATTCATCATGTCCCTTTCCCATGTCCCTTTTCTTTTTTCTTTTTTTTTTTACAGTGATGTGCATTCTTGCTTTGGGATTCTTGCGTCAGTGACATAAACTAGTTTGAATACCGCAGTTTATTGTGATATATTTTGTAGCAATATCCCGCTTTTTTGAAAGTTTATTATTATGCCAGGCCAAATGATCTGTATCAACTTGTGAGGAACCCAATGATTCCCAGACTGTTACTGTTAATGTGGGAATGGTTTACATGGGAAACGAGGGTGAGATCACTTGTTTTACAGAATTGTGGTGAGGCTGTTTGGGAGCAAAGCTGACAGTTGACATCAGGTCTACAGTGACATAAGAGAGATTCTGTCAACATTCACAGCAGGGGGGAGGAGGGGGACAAGGAGAAAGACGAGAGGAGGAGGAGGAAGAAGAGGAGGAAGAGGTAAGGTGTGGATATTACTCATCAGCTTCACCCTGTCTCTGTCAACAGTGCAATCCAGCTGCATTTAACAAGTTTAGACCCAGCGACAAGTGTGAATGTCAAGGGGAAGTGTTGAAAATGAATGTACCATACCTCTGTGTTTGAACTGGGAGCATTTCAGGAGAACTAGTGACTCATTGCTTTCTTATTTTACATAATACTTTCCATTTTTTCATTTTAATATTTCACTGTTACAGATTGGGGTACTATTGTCCTGTGCAAACAACAAAACACTTTGTCTCTATGAGGTCATATTTTGCAATTTAAACCTCTCCAAACAAGTTCTGAAATCCATGTGGTTTTTGTATTAGTTTTTATTCTCAAATACTGTATCACTGTCTTCTTAAAATATCCACTACGTGAAATGAACTGATATATTGATAGATTCCTTTATTGTCACTGAATGAAAAAAACAAACAGTGAAATTACATTTAACAACTCCCTCTCATGTCTTGATTGTAAAACATCTAATAGTAATTGCAATGTTTGTCAGATTGCAATGACAAATTTTCCACAATTGTTCGCTCGTAATTTCATATAAATACCCCTGTAGTGAAATCTCCATATGCAACACATTACTGGCTCTTCAGTGAGCAGAGTGCAGGTCCTACCCAGACTTCCTACAACTGCCCAGACACATGTGGCTAATGGCTAATCCAAATTGTTCATAATGAATGTAAGTGTTATTGTCTGTCTCCCTGTGTTTAAGTGGCGGTTGCCCAGTCTGTGCAAATCCTCACGTACGAAGCAGCTGGGACACTCTGACTGACACCCACTAAGAGCAAGAAAGAGGTGGGGGTGGCAGTTCATGAAAAAAGTAAGTAAGTTGGCTTTTTTATTTTGTCTGATCACACAGTTTTCCTACTTTCCTACTCATTTTACATGCACTCTTATTATATTTTATAACAAACATCTTCCAATCTTGATTTTATTGCATGCCCACTCTTATTACTGCGCCAAGTTTGTAATCCTAGTAGAATCAATGCAAAAAAATGGTTTTAGAATAGTCTTCATACATATAATTTGTATATGACAACATGGTAATTGAAAGTACTATAATTTACTGATGAAAATTTGATTCTTGAATATTGAGCTTCTTCCTTGTGTGTATGTATCGTGACAACACTAATTTACAAATCATGAAGAGCTGCCATGCCAAGTTTCTCCACGGTGAGATCAATAGTGGTATTCTTTTCTATTCTATTCATTCAAAGCCAAAAGCAATTAAATTAGTTTCACTGCAATACCACACTGAGACGTCGGAAAGTTGTTAAAGGCTATATAAGACATCAATCTAAACATTCATAAATTATCAAGCTCATACAGGCAAATGTGTGTTTGGAATTACGTAATATTTCTCTGCACTGGAGTCTAGTCAGGCTTTAGAAAATTCAATATGCTTTGGTAATTCCTCCAAACATGTGGTTTACGCCAATTACTAGACAGAGCTTTTGGGCTTTGACTCTTAAACCTGGCTTACATAGGAGCGGCCGTCTGAGGAAGCCCTTACCTTGTTTTGAGGTTAGCGAAACAAACACTCCCAGCATGCACCACTCCAGACGCAGCATGCAGCGCCAGTTCACACACTACGCAATTTACCTCATTTGCACTCTGTCGATAAATCTTTTTCTTTCTCTTTAAACTACCCAAAGTATTTTCCAAAAGACCCTGGCAGCGCCTCCAAAAGGTTTTACGGGCAGGAGGTTGTGGCACAGCGAGCTACAGGGAGAAATAAGGGAAAAAGCAGGACATTGACATTGAGGAAAGAGGCTTAAAGCAGCTGATCGTTTAGGAAGGAGATCCCCAGCAGTGGAGAGATGCTACAAAACAAATATCAGCATGGAAATATGTGTAAAGGTGCATTATGTAACTTTTCTAGGAGATAAGGGAGATGTTTTTCCCCTGAAAGTTCCACAGCAAATCCAACTGATCTATCTTGCATTTACTCAATTACATGTGTTTTAATGCCACCATGTGAGAAAAGATAGTGTAGCTTTAACTGTACGAATCACTCACCCTGCGGACAGGTTCGGAAGTCCCCTCCTCCTCCTCTGCAGTGACAGGAGCATCCAGCACCTGCACCTGACTGTCTCCTGTGTTGCCAAAGCTGAGGATGAGGTTGACAGTGTTCCCCAGGCCAGGGCTGCTTTTGTCTTTGAGGACAAACACTGAAGACTTGGGAGATTCTGGCGACTTCACATCAGGACTGTGCAAAGGAACGCTGGCCATAACTGCGTATCCGTCCTCTGTTTGCTTATTTAAAGGTTTACACGAAACGGAGGAGTTCTGTGTTTCTTTAGCGTCTTGCTGTCTTTCTTCATCAGAGGAGAGCACTGGAGAATACACTGATTGGTCAGCCTGCTGTTCTTGTGCTGAAGGCTGCAAAAAAAATAACGATGGAATCATATAAGACATTTTCTACAAATTCAGAATGATGAAAATTAGGAATCTAAAACTAAGTATTACATCTATTATATAACAGTAAGAAACCCATAAATATGTCATCACAATCCTCATTGTGGGGACAAAGCTTACAAAGCATTATATGGTTGTCTGACCCTCTAATTAGCTATTTCAAAATGTTTAAATCTTTAAGATGGAAACTCTCTCTCAAATACAAAGTCAGAATCTCATTTCCATGGAGTATTGAAAACCCATTCTTCACATTTTAGGTAGCAGGGCTAACCAGAGAAAACTAGTTAGACACATGGGGATAACATGCAGACCCAATATCAATTTGTTATTATTCTGAAATGCTAACCACTATGCCACCAGTAGAAAAAATAAATAAAAAATTAAATTGACTTTTTAACTAAACTCTGGTTATGTCTGTTCATACCTTTGCCAATGATGAGCACATGATGGAGTAAACATTCTCCTGTGCCTCTTGTTTCTGAAGCCACTGCTGTTTTTGGGCTCTCCAGTGCACTGAGATCCAGCCCAGCATGCTCCGCAGCTCCTCCATGCGCTCCCTCACCTTAAACAACAATAAAACCATCCATTTACTTTAGGTTTATAACATTTATACAATCAATCATTACAATGTCAGAGTGTGTAACGTCTCTCACCATCTGACTGAGGTGATGGTCTTTGTCTAAAATGTTCCTCCCTGTTGCTGCCAGCTCCTCAAACTCCACAAACTTTTGCTCAATCTGTGAATCCAGCTCTGCAGCCATTGGCCCCTGTCCATCTTTCCCGTGATGCAAAGCAGTATCTGAGAAAATGCAGGACCTTGTATCTTCAGTCCATGAGCTATAGAAACAGGAGGCAGACAGAGCAAACATGTCTGAGAGGAGTAATACATTCAGAGCCAATGACAATGTCCAGACATGTTATGTCAAAGGATAAACAGTAGGCCCAGGAAACAAGTGCTTAATACTTTTAAAGCTGCTCTATGTAACATTTCTTGTCTTCCTGCCTGGACATGCTATTGCTTTGCATGGAATGTTCCGCAGTATGGCATTAAACATATCTATCACAATGAAGACAACTACCTGGCTCGCTCACTCGCTCACTGTCTTTGTTTTTAAAGACAAGACATAAGAAGATGTAATTACCTTGAAACATGTCAACAAAGTACTTGCATTTCATATCATTTAAAATAACTAATGCCATGTGAAAGTAAAGTCGTACTGTGGAACATTCCAGGCAAATTAATAGCATATCCATGTAGACATGTAGCTGGCGTACTCCCCACCAGAAAAGTTGGGGACCTGTTTTTGACAAGGGGAACATCCTGCCCTGTTTAAGCCAGACAGAATAATGTAATACTCTCAGAAGACCATTACAGCAAAGACAGAGGTTGTCTCATCCCCCCACCCGCTTACATCATCTGTAGATAGCTCCTGAAGAAGTCTTGGAGCTGCACAAACTCTCGCAGACGTAATTTGTTCGCTGTCACACTGGCCCCCAGCTCCGTCCAGGCCTGCAGTGTCACCTGGATCTTTGCCCCAAAAACGTGAACTCTCTCTGGGCACAGCTCCTCCAAGCGCCTGGCCTGGCTCTCCACCGCTTTCACCTCTTCTCTGATGTCCTCATAGTTCATCTACAGTGAGTTTGTCGTGATTACTTATTATTTTCAGGTCAACAAAAGTCAATACAGATATAAAGTTAAAGGCAAAGTATGTAATTTTAAGCAAAAGACAGACTTAAATAAAAACATGCTTTTTCAAAATTTTCCACACAAAACAAAAAACAGTGAATCGGTTAAAACTTATCATCCCTAATCATAGCTGGGATCAGTCACACAGACCTATTGTGTTAAAGCTATGACCTCATCTCAATAGCTTTATGCATATTATACAGCTAGAGGTACATATGGTGCACACATGGCTTACCACACACTACAGCAAGCTTGCAAGCCTGACCACATTTTTTCTCTTTTTGACAAGGCGGTAATTAATAGCATTGGTTCTCTGGGAGCAATGCTTTATAATGTTTCTCAGCTACAAGAACATAGAGTGGTGGTGGATGCCTATTTGCTGACGCCATAGTTATTTTTACTTTACGATTAGGTCATTCCTCTTCTTATGTTGGAGTCCAGACAGCTGTGTACGTGATAAACAAGACCCATGCAAACTTTATCACCATTACATCTAACCTGGGACACCCCCCCCCGACCAATCCATGTTGCAGTCAGACCAAAAGATCAATCCTGAAACGCTCACAAACTGACAGAAATGACTAATACAAGTGGAAATAAACATTGGGTGCGGAATAAACGTACGACATATGTTTGCGTGTGATTTTACAGTCGAGTTTGTGTAATCCATTAAGCAGCACAAAGAACTGAGCAAAACCTATGAGAAAATCTTGCAAATTATTGTTTCAAAGTGAGAGACAAATGGTTGTATGCATGGACTGTGTGATAATCAAATAGATCAAAAGTGAAATATGACATTGCTATCAGCCTTATCAATTTGTTAGGGACTTCAGATTGTTTTTTATTAGCTAAAAGTCTCTGAATATTGTCCCTTCAAATAAAGACAAACTAAACCATTTAGTTTTAACCACCTTCAACCATCACCTTACTTGACAGCTGAAACTACTAAACAAACAACCTACTATACTACCTATCTATACTAGCATGCTTTTATCAAACGTTTAAGTAAAATTATCCAGCCTTTGATTGCTAAGTAAATGAAAAAAATACAGTTGAATCCATAAACATGTTTACAGAGGTTGTGATGTGTCCCTAGGAGATGTTGGATGCAGCACAAGCATTTTATAATCAGTATAGAAAAAGTGAGCAACGATGACTAATAAAACCAAATTAGTGTAACGTGATCTTGTTTTGACGTAGTCTGGCAGCTGTTTCTCCAATTGTAGTGGACTGCAGCGTGCAATAACGTCACTATGGTCTAATTTTTCCTTTACTTTCTGCACTTTGTCTCTCTGTAGCTCTATTAGCACCACTGAGCCATGTTCAGTGTTTAGGCCATAATCACAACATGAACGGTCTCCTCTCACCTCCAGGTGGTCCTGCTCCTCCCACAGGGCATCCAAACCACAGCGATCCGGCTCGCATTGGACCGCCATGTCTGTCTCTCTCTCCAAAATGTCCAGGCTCAGGTCTTTACTGCGGCATAAGCTCTCCTCCACCCGCACAGCCAGACTGGCATGCTGTAATGAACAAAGGCAACATTAAAACTGATGTTATGAAATTATTATGTGTACGTGTGGGAAAAACTGATAAAGAATAATCAGTTTTATATTTAGATACACCAGGATTGTCCCCAACCCATAACATTAGGCTCTAATGCCGGCCAACTTAGTTTACCTGCATTACAAAAATAAGTACAATTCAAATAAATAACTGTTCTGTATTATGCTTTATTACAGTAAATGTCACTAACCCCCATTACAGTGTGTATTATGTGTTTGCCAAAGAGAGACACATTGCAAATTACTGCTTTGAGTCATGGGGCCTCCTTCAAACACATTTGTGAGTGTGGCTATTTTCTAATGAGGTTAAATCAAAATGACAAAAACATAAAAAGGCCAGTGAGAGATGATTTGTTAAAAAGACTAAACAAAAAACAACTACCAGATGTGTCTTTCAGTTAACATATGCAGCTGTGTGCGAATACATTGGACAAATTATTCTCCATCCTTCTAGTAGTTTGAGGAAAATATATTATCTTGTTTCACTTATTTGGTATATCAAATGTGTGCTCATTATTTTACATTTTGTTAATTGTAAACAGCAATGTTAATCAATAATAAACTGGCCCAAGTGATAGATCCCTCACCCTTCAAAATGGAATTTCACCATAGAAAGCAAATAACCACATGTACAGAGCAGTGGACAGAGATAAGGGGTGGGTGAAAACAAACATTTTCTGACCACTCAAGCTTAAAATGCAGGACATACAACAAGTTTAATTAGTTTACTATTACACAAAATTTACTCTTGTGAGCTTTAAGCCATCATCTCTCATAAAAACGTACCTGGTGTTGTATTTTGTTTCAGAAAACTGCTTAATATTGGCCCTTTAAAGCTTACAAAAGTAGATTTTACATGATGTATCCCCTTTAAAAAAATCATGACAAAAGTGTGTTAATGCTTGAGTCATTGTTTATACCTTGCTCAGTAGCTCGCATATGGCTTGGTCAAGGTTTTGAGTGCGCCCTCTTTCCCTCACTGTGTCATTGAGCATCTCCACAGCTTCTCTCAGCTCCTCTACAGGGTCACCCATGGGCTCCATCAGAGGCTCTGTGGCACTGCTACTCCGGAGGTCCATTAGAGTAGGTGCTGGGGACATTTCACTGTGCAGTGGCTGTAAGGCACGCAATACATTTTTACTTTACTAACAATGTGGCTTATCAGATATCAATGTATATATTTTAATATGCATAGTGCCCCTTACAGTCCGACAATGTTAAAATCCAGAGCAGAGTTTAACCATAAAACATCTGAAGTGACAATATTTTTTAAAAAGCATGATATCAGATGGCATTATTTAAATGCAAATAAATTGAAGCTTTATGGTGCATTTCTTTTTTAACTGTGCAAAAAATAAATATATGGAAATATTATTGGTCAACAAATATTATGCGCTACATTGCAATTTAAGTAGTTCTTGTATCCAGGAGTGGTCCATGCACAAAGTATGTTGTTACAATCTAATTATAGGTATCGCTCACCTGTCCTAGGCTGAACTGACCCCCCCTTCTTTCCTGGCTCTCCTCGAGCTCGACCTGCTCCAGAAACTCGGTCAGCATCCGTGTGTCCTGCAGCTCTGAGCTCTGCTGGGTCAGCGCACTTTGAACATGCTGGTACCTTTAAAACATAAACACTATTATTGAAATGTTTATTTAAGCAGTCCAACTATTATCCACATTCTGCCCATACATCCTTCAACACTGCCACTTTATGTAGACCTCAGGAGTGCGTTCCACCATGCTAGAGCGCCATTTGTGTAATCATGCATCATGTCTTATAAACATAACTTGTACTTAGGGGCAGGATGGTCTGTGGTGAGTTTAAATTTGTGATAGTTAAGGGAGCAATATAAAAACGTATTCTTTCCATAATAAATGATGCTTGTGGTAATAAATAAAGATGACGTCAAAGCCTTTCTATCCGTACAAAACTCCCACTCTGGAAACACTTAAACCAAGTGCTTTCTTTCCTTTGTTTAGTTTGGTCAGGGCCTTAACGTGTATTTATGGACACTGGAAGGTCCCACATTTCAGCCTGATTCATGGGGTTTTACCAAAAGTACATGGCACAAACATGAAATCACATCTCCAGCCGAGGAGAGAGACGTCATTAGAAAACATGGACAGGGCGAGTTTGACACGCGCTGACAGACTGTGGGGTAGACCTCTCTGACTGCCTCATGAATTTCAAATGAATCAACTTGAATCTAGTAATGAATGAGCGCATAGAGACTCAACACTGCCAGGTTTAAAATAAAACTTACTGGATACATGAATATATATTCTGGTGGTTTATGGGGTGAATTGTTTGTCTTCAGTAAGGAGTGGATTTTATGAATAAACTCTTCCATGTTGTAGTGCTGCAGAAGCCTGGAAACAGTGAGCAGTTCTGTTTCCTGACCACAGTTAAGAGCACCACCAGCGTGCAGCCTGATAGTTCACATTCATAACACAGGTTTTCCACAATGACAGAGTCAGGGCGGTCCTGTGACCCTGCTCCTCTGCGTAGTTTATGAACTCACTTTCTCTCCACAGCGTCCATGCGTGCGGGCAGCCCTCGTGTCAGGGGGTGACTGTGGCACTGTAGCCGCTCCACCTCCTGTCTGAGCGCTTTCAGTTCATGGCCACGTGCCGTCACCTCTCTCTCCAGGAGGCAGCTCTGTCGCTCAGCTACGCTCATAGTTTCAGGGTCAGCGGCCAAAGAGGACTCCTTCATGGAAAGCTCCACAGACTCCAGCCAGGCGTCCAGGCTGCCCAGGGCCTGCAGCACTTTAACAACCTGGAAGAACACACAAGGGCCAGGCAGTCGTGAGGTCACTGCTTTGGCTGATAATGGAGGAAGTGTTCAACAGTGATGACATATAATGTACAATAAAACAAGTACAACTTACAGCTTACACTCATCACCAGTCATAAATGTGGCAAATCCTACAGGAGGTGCTTAAGTACATGTGTACTGAGGTAGCAGCTCTATGTTGCAATGTTTTATACTTGAAATGAATTGTAGAAGTACCACTCATAGTTCAATTTGGGTTTGTTTTTCCAACTATAGACTTTTTATTCTGTCAGTGAAAAATAAATGAGTCCTATCTGTCAGTGTTTGCGTGCACAGCTCAGGCTCCTGTCCAGTGTAAAGACTTCTATTTAGGGAAAACTGATCATCTGTCATAAGTAATAGTTTTCTCCATATTTTTAGAGCTTAGTGTGCTGGCTCAGTGGGACTTCAGAGAGGAGCTGGTTGTGGATGTTTTACGAGCCTTACCCTGAAGCCCAGCTCCTCGGAGGCCTGGAGAAAGAGCGCGTTCCTCTGGTGCCTCCTCCGCAGCTCCTCCCACAGCACCTCCAGCTGACCCAAAAACTCCTGGATCCTGGAGCTGCCCGGGTGCTGCGCTCGGACCAGCCCACGGCCCTCCTGAGGAATGTAAAAGTGTGATGAGAGTGAGTGATGATAAAAGAATGAGATTTATGATGTGAAAAATAAACCTTATCTGAGCTCAAATTCAATGTTCTGAAAATATCTATTCATTATTTTTGTAATAACGAAAACCAGACATGCTATGTTAACAAATATGGAAGATATGCTCGGTTTGGTGAAAGGGCTGTGAAAAATAGCCAGAAACCTAAACAGAAATAGGAATATCAAGCTTCATCAGTATGTGTCATTATGTGCACATTACATACAAGTTTTATCGTGTAAATATATATAGTTCAAAGTGCTTAATATTGCATTATTCATTCACTCCACACTGATAATACTACTGTAGCCACAGCTGTTCTGGGATAAACTGACAGAAGCAAGGTTGGTAATCTATCCCATCAGCCCCTCCTACCACCACCAACACTCAAACACACACCACATTCATAGTAGGCAATGTGGGTGAAGTGTCTTGCCTAAGGACATAACATCAGTTCTTGTTGGAGCCACTGTCGCCCCACTGTGGCACTTGGTTTTCACAGCGATCTCCCTCCCAAATATATTATTTGTCACAATATAATCATAACGCAGTGGCAAGCACTCACACCTCACAGCAAGAAGGTTCTGGATCTTGTGTTTGCATGTTTCTCCCTGTGTCTAGGTGGGTTTCCTCCAGGCAATCCATGTTCCCCCATCAACCCAAAACCTGCCAAAAAGGTCAGATCTGCCAGCTGAAGTACTTCCCGGTTAACTCACCTTTTTTACCACCTCAATCCTTGTTCTGTTGTTCAGTATCTCCTGCTCCAAAGCGTGCTGACACCTACGTGCGGCTTCAAGGCCCTCTAGACTGGCCACGGCGCAGATCTGGGTCGCCATGGAGACATTGTCTTTGAGCCAGGCCAGAGTCTAAGATGGAGATACGAAGCACAGCAGCAAAACCCATTAGAGTCAGCTGAGGAGAAGAGACAAAATGAGCTGGCATTTGTGTGCTATGGCAACGAGGGACTAAAATCAAATATTTTCCATAGTTACTGGACAATTACTGTGAAAGTAGCACACTCAGAATGCTCTTAGCCTGAAATGCATGACAACTTCAGTTTGATTTAAAATGTGACATAACGTCTGTGGTTTGTTATTGTGGCGCTCTAATAACTAAAGTAATGCTGACCAGAAAATTAATGTGGGAAGCCACCTTTTTTCACTACGAACATGGACTAAGATGAAATTCACACTTAGGTTGCACACTCCATTCGTAGTAAATTGTCTATTTGCAGCAGGAAAACACATTTTTTACCTTTATGCTTTTTCATTTGACTAAAATTACTTACACATGTAGTATCAAAGTGACAGAAGTCTTACATAAGTTGTATTTGAAATGATGATTTAAAATTATTGAATCATATGTTTTAATGAAGTACCAATTCTATGTATTTTGTGTAATTTAGTACAGTTCTATTGTATTCTTAAGTAACTTCTGAATAACCCTAAATTTTACCAGACATTCCATAGTAGTGTCGTTAGGCTACTGAAATTTCAAACTTGATTTTGATACTAAGAAACGGCCAATACAGCGGCCAAAATATCCAAATACCTGGGTTATTGATACTTGCTCAAATTAATATGTAATTCTGTATCAGTTTGTATCTGGGTATAATATTTGAACATCATTAGTCCACAATCTTTTTTCTTTTTCCAATTTCCACTTTAATTAGAATCATGTTTAGACGATGATGTTCCTATTGCAATATTCATTTAATGGATAACACACTGTTGGATAACACATGTTGTAATCTGACATTAGGCTACATTAAATCACAGTGACTTTGAGAACAGTGATATAATGAAAACATCCTTGTTTGTGACTGGTTTAGGTCACCTTGTCTGCAGAAACGGTGAACTTCTGGAGCTGGGCGTGGAGCGGTGGGTGGCCTGGTTGGGTGCTGTCATTCTTGGGCTCAGTTTTGGGCTTCCTGCTGCAAAGAAAACAGGACCATGTGATTCCTATTAGGACTTACATAAAGACCCCTCATTATGTAAGTAACAGAGCGAGAACCAAATGTCACCTTTCTGCCTTCAACTGGTGTCTGGCTATGACATCATTGGAACAGACAGCTGCCTCTCCCATGGGTGACGAAAGGCTTGCTGAATCCTGTTCCTGAGTTTGACCAATGCCAGCATCAGCAGTGCCCTGGACACAAGAGGGTAAGTTTTACAGGGAAACTCCAAAATATTACCCACATGACAAGTAAGTAATGTCTTTTGACAATGATGACGGTGCAGATTAATTTGTAATTTCATACTCAGAGGTCATATGACAAAAAGGCGTTCCTGCCCCGCTACAGTGAATGTTGTATTATGGCCAGAGGGTGGACTACATGGACATATGCCCAGACAAGTATAAAGTTTCCCCGACAAATGACACAAGCTTACTAATACACAAAGGTTGGTTATTCTGGGTGAAATAAGCCAGGGTCTGCTAAAGATATTAAATTGACAGCTGTAATGCCTGTAAGAAATCTTGAAGACAGAAATCACTAAATCAATTCTTCTTGCTTCGTAAATGCAAGCTAATGGGTGCGACGTTATACTGCTATGAGTAAAAGAACCATTCATTTACTGTAGAAAGCGTAGCATTCACTGGTTTCCTATTTTGGGCATGCATGATTTCTATGGCAGTTCTGTCTCGCTATAGAGGTCAACAGCAGTGCAGTGAGCAAAAATGGTACAAAATTATAATACTATATGTATAACTGGTTATACAGTGTACAAAAAACATCTGTGAAGTTAAAGGTGCACAATATTAGCCAGGCTGGTACAGGCTGGGAGTGTCTCCACTCAATTTCATTTGTCTCCTCTAGGTCAGAAATCAGAATACACTAGACTGGGAAAAAGCCAATCAGCAAAAAGCCATACATTCTGTGTTGGCAACAATTCCCGAGATTGAGGATTTAAAGCCAGAGCAAAGAGAATGTTTGGTGAATTTATCAAGGTGAAAGACGTTATTGCCCTTCTTCCTACGAGATTTGGGAAAAGCTTAATATACCAGTTAGCTGCGTTAGCGGTGCATTACATACATTATGACCAAATAGCAGTGATTGGCTAAATAAAAAAGTACCCGCCTACTGTCGAGCGAACAAATTTTAACGCTGAGAGGTCTGACGGTTTCCGCGAAGTGAAACCGGCTGATGAATCAGGTTAGCACAATGTAACTTTTTCTGGTAGAGGGTCCACCACCTGCTCATCTTTTTGGAAATGTTATTGCTTTGCCCGAAATGTTCCACTGTATTACAGCATTAAACATATCTATTCCCATGGAGATGAGCAGGAGTCAAAGGTACAGGTTTTTTAGGACATCTATGAGTAAAGGCGTGAGGTTAATTCCATAATGTGGCACATTCAAGGTAAAGCAATAACAACTCCATGGTGGCGGACCCCCTAGTGAAGAAGTTAAATAGTGCGACTTTAAATTAAGTCATGCTATTGTCCTATATACTGAATGGTACTAAAAGATGGACATTAAATTCTATATGCAAGTGTCAAAAGTTTTATATTTTATGTGTCAAACTTGATGTATTTGTGGTAGTTCAAACGTGGTATCATTTTTCACCTCGTAGCTGTGAACTGTGATTCTGACTTAGACTTTTGACTTTCTCTGTGGGATTTTCGTGGAGTGCTATTAAATGATGTCAGCCATGAACTATCACTTTGCACCTACAGCATCTGGTTGGCAGCTTTCGCATCTGGCCACAATTAGCAACAGACGCTCGCCATGTCCGCGTCCACTCAAGAGGCCGTAGCAAGATGGAGTCTGCTCAACCAGGGCCACATATGGAGAAGTCATACAGTATTTAATGTACAGGGCTACGCTATGTCACTATTCAGGCAGTTAGAAAGGTGCTTGTGGCTGCACTGTGCTAGAGAATAGAGGGCTGTCTACAAATGCCCACACACTTCTATGTCAGCCAAGTGACCCAAACACTGGATCTGGTAACTTATATTAAAGGGATCACGAATGACAAGTCATTTTGTGCTGAATGACTTGAGTGTTATTTCGTCTTAAAGCTCTGCAGGTTTATTTTATTTCTTCTATGTTACAAGCAGAGAACAAAACTTTACACCTTAGCTAATTATAATTTTATGAATTAATAAAACACAGAATATTCATCAGTATAATTTTAAACATATCTACCTCCATGGAGAACAAACAGGTGACGCTATCAGGCTAAGTTACAGGTCAGATCTGGGGAGAGGTGACTGTAAACTAAATGCTAAAAAAACAAACTAAGCTCTTTTTTAATGCTTTATAAAAATATGTTTTTGTACAAATGTTTATTCTTTAAAAATTAGGAAAGTCACCTGTGTTCATATCCTGAGTATTACGTTCTTACCTTAACTTGAACCAGAGCACATCTGCTAATATTACATTAATTCACTGACTGGATGCTTTTGTTAAACCAACTCTAAGTCAAGATATTATTGTAGCCATTAAATTAAATGATTTTAAAAATAGTGAATTTTAGAGTGACAGGAAAGTCATATTTTCTCTGGCCAGCAACTGAACCACGTTGAACAGCTATGGTTTGAAAATCCTCAGGGACATTGACAAATATTTTTCTGCCAGGAAAAATAAAATCTTTAAAAGCTCTTCCTGTGACATCTATGAAACATTTTAGGTTCAATTTGACTCATACGTGTTGAAAGAACTGACAGAATAAAATACAGCATAATGAACTGCATATAAATGTACCATTGGGGGCACTGGTCCTTTCCACTAAAATAAAAAAAGTGTGATTGAAGAAGTAGGTCAGTAAAGCACCTAAAAGCATTATTTAAAACTGGCCCTCTTTACCATGAGTCCTTTTCCAAAGCCAGGCCCACAATGCGTCACCCCTTCACCACAGCTCTTTTGCACTGAGGAGGGCTGAGCTCATCTTTCTGCAGCTCTGATGTAGCTGTTGTCTCTCACTCTGTGGTTACTCCAGTAATAGAAACGCACCAAAACTGCTTACCACAAAACCTTTTAGCCGATTCTGCTCCTCCTTCACCTCTTTTCCCATGGTTCTTTGCAGCTCAGTTCCCACGGTGCCCTGCTCCCTGGTTGAAGGGTCGACCTCTTCTCTGGGGGGACTGGGGCTGGTGGGTGGTGGTGCAGCCCTGTCAGTCCTGTAACAGAAAGATGGAGGTTAGCACGGTGCTGACACAAGTATTTTTGAGTCCACAGTAAACTCCTATTATGGCCTGAACTCTGCTACCACTGTTTGTGCTTTTGGCCTGGAATAGTTTTAAAAAGCACAGCTGTTGAAACACACCAGATGATGTCATATTTATGTGTCTAAAAATAGCGTTTTGACGTGAGAGCTCTTGGGTTGATAAATATTTTTCAAAGTACAAGATGTTGATAGAAGAAGATATCTTAAGTTTTGCTGCACTTGACCTTAAATGACCATGGCACAGAATCAACCACTTGTTTCTTGGGAAAAGCACATACTAGATATAAACAAATATCATTTCTTGTCAAAAATGTAGCTATTTTTGTGCGAAATAAGAAATGACTTTGACGTTATTGGTTACATAAGTGATTTAATAAACAAATGAGTACTGAATACATGATACTGTGGCAGTCTTATGAACATAGAAGTAATACATTTCTCTTACCTGAGAGTTTTCTGCAGAAGTGCCCATGACTCTTTGATTTCACTTTGTTTCTGAATGACGCCAGTCGCTAGAGCAGGGTGCAGATTAGAGAGCTGGGACACACTCACATCCAGCATCTGCCCAACATAGAAATAATTTATATAGTTAAAGCTCAAGTACCCAACATTTTCTATTCAATTTGTTCATTTTGTTTCCCTCCTCATGAAGTGTATTTTTAAAAGAGGACCTTCTGACAGAATCAGACTGTTACAAACTGTCTTAATCTAATTGTAAGAAAAAAAACAAACATGTGAGTCACTATTACGGTTTGGGCTGCTTCACTTTTCTGTCTGACAAAGTGTTTTTAAAGCTGTTAGTGGTCAAAAAAATCCATGCATGTGAATACTAGTGATGTACCAAATGGAAAGATTCAAATACCTATTTACCCCAGTTTTAAGTTTTCAGGATCGACTCAATAATTTGACATACCATGATTTGACCTGCAATGTCTCGGATTTCCTGGTCTCCGAGTTTGTCCAGCTCCTTAGATCCAGATGCACCTTTTCTCTAAAATAAGGAAAAGTAAAATGTGCAGAAATATCACTTCATAACTTTATGTGAAAATTTACATTGTAAGCTTCCATTCCCTATTTGTGGTCTTTTAGAAGAAAATATACAGATATATTTTTTTATGGCTGGTGATATATTATTTATGCTGATTTCACATTTCTCCAAAAACAACTATATCTTAAATGTAACCTATATTTACATACTGTTTACTCAAATATACACAAATATATTTACCATGTTGTGAATGGCCAGTAATATATTATCAGCTTGTTGGTAGAAGGATGACACCTCCAAAGCCAGCTGCAGATTTTCATGATAGTTCTTCAGATGAGCTTGTACTTTGAGCCACCTAAACACACATAAGAGACAGTACATTGGGATAATTTTGAGGCCTTCTTGACTCCTCTGTGTTTCATGCATCATACCAGTTCATCTCAAAGGACCATGTGTACATTTTATTGACGTGTTTCCTCCTGTTGCCGACGTTTTTCCCATCTGTCTTGCCTTGCTTCTCCAGTTTGAGGGCTAAGTGGTTAATTTCCTCATAGAGATTCCTGTAGAGCTGCTCATCCTAAAAGAAAAAAGGAAAACGTGACATCAGCAGCTATCTTTGCTATATCTTTAAGCTCTGTGGTTTTATTCAAAATGTCTTCATTATTTCTTCAAAATAATATGTTAGATGCAAAAACACAGGTAATGCTATCAGGCCAAGTTACAGGTCAAATCTGTGGAGAAGTGAGTGTAAGAATACAAGTTTTCCAAATTATTATTAAGCAAATAAAACACTGTAAGATTCATTCAGAACAAAGCAATAACATCTACATAGGGCAAGCAAGTAGAAACAGAGAAAGAGTCCAACTATGACATCAGCTGTCTTTGCCATACACCCCAGGCAGACAAATTAGCTCCAGTGGTAGGATCCTGTAAATAATTATTGGGAAAATCTCCAGAAAATTGGACAATAAGCTGCATACATATGGATTTTGTTGACCATGAATGTAATCATGGGTCTATAAATGCCATGTTACAGCACTCACCTGTTTCAGATCTAAAATCTTTCTGGTCAGCTGCATCTTGTCCACACTCTCCCCAAGGACATTGACCAGAGACGTGGGCTCTTCCTGCTGGCACACACAACAGCGCTCAGGGCGATAATTTACAAGGAAACAAGCCATTATTTTAGTGGAGGATTACACCACACTGCCATGACTGCTTTAGTAGGAGACATTATACAGAAAACCTTAACCCAGAAAGGGAAAATAAGCACATTGCAAGATATGCTGCACATTCTCCTCTATCATGACCGAATAACTATAATTATAACCATTATTAATTGCTAAACTATTTTCCAGAGAACCTGTTTTTGCACGAGTTTGTTAAAAAATATAATGAAAACATGCTGTGTGGGGTAAAAGAACCCACAGAATTAAAAATTAAATTAAATGTGTGCTGTGAAACTTTTCTACTGGAGGGGATGCTACTTGCTTGTCATTCAGATGCCTAGAATGTTCCACAGTATGACATTAAACTTATTTATCTTGCATTTCTTGCATTTCTTGCATTTCTCGTCCTCATGTCAGTAATTAGTGGTGTAGCCCTATTTTTAAACCTGGTATAATCCTGTCATAGATCTGGTGGTACTCAGACAGCTAAATATATTTTCATAGGTGGTACTTGTGGTACTTGGCTGTGAAAAGTTGGAGATCTTCTGTAATAGTTGACTTATCATTGCAGTGTGTTGCTGAATGCACTAACCTTCTCCTTGATCCACGCCTCCAGTTTCTCCACTTTAGTGTTGAACTCTTGAAGGTTCTTGGCCCCACCCAAAGCCCTCGTCTGATTGGCTGCAGTCTGCTTCAGTGTCTGCCATTGGTCCCGGAGTTGGCTCAGCTGTTTCTTCACCAGGTCTGAAGTCGGGTTCATCTTGCAGATCAATTGTTCCCCCATCTAATAACAGTAATAATAGTGATTATCATTGTTAATAATATATTTTTTCAGCTCACTTTTCATATGTTCATTAGTTTCAGGTTTATAGTTTAGGACTTTTGACTATTTAAGAGACATATGGTAATATTTTATTTTGAACTCTTAACTGCAGCGGTCCTAATTTTCCATCAGTCTTAAACTCATGAGTTACTGTACCTGGTTTAGTTGAATCAAGGTGTTTTCAAAGTCTTTGAGGTCCCTCTGCAGAGTCTGACAGGCCTCCTCCCCGTCCTGTAGGTGTAAGTGTTCAATATTACGGCCATCCTTCAGGTCCTGGAGCTTCCCCTTTATCCATGCTTCTGCCTGCAGTTACCAAAAATGAGACATATTAACAAAAATGTAATAATCAATAACTACGTTGTAAATGTTGCAACAGTTTGCTGCAGCAAAACTTGAATTTCTCTCGGGATCAATAAAGTATTTCTCTCTCTCTCTCTCTCTCTCTCTCTCTCTGTCTCTCTTATAATTCAGGAAAGTAGAGATGTCAAGAATGTTGTACATGATTATTAAACCATTCACTCTTTATACAATCTAAAGTTACAGTGCTGTACTAAAAACAGTCCTTTGTTTTTAGTGTTGTTTTATGCAGTGCAGACATTTCTATTGGCAACTATGGGACCTTTCTTAATAAATGTTTTGTCTGGATGAACTGCCTTTACTGGTATGAGGTCATTGCTCCAGGTCAAGAGTGGCCAAACCCAAAACTGTTGAAAAATACATGTTTGTTTTTATTAGTTAACTGAGTCCAGAGGAATCCTGAGCACACCCATTCAGACTACATACAATTAGACTTCCCTTTTCTTCCAAGATGACTCATTAAATTGCAATGAACCTGCACTGGACAGAGCTTTGAATGTGCATGCTTTTCAGACTTGCTCCAATGCATTATTAAAAAATTCCAAGGATGAAGTTCACGAAAGAAATTCTTAGTCTGCCCTGTGCACTGATTAATGGACTACAACAAGACATGGCAAGGCACAGGCAAAAAAGATTATTGGGATCTCGCATAAACTACTAAAGAGAAACACGAGTAAACTGCATCTTCATAAGTGGAAAGAGTAGAGATTAAATTGACCAGTAACTAGTAAAACTCCACCTAACTACTTATTCTAGGCTTTCTGCTCTGGTCCATATAAATTCTTATAACCTTATATAATTAGTTAACTAATTTGGTCAACCAGGGGTGTGTCCATACTTGCAAAAACCCAACATTAAAATTGGGACTAAACCAGAATTAAACCAGGACTAGAACAGGGCCAAACCAAGTCTACGTTAGAAGTAAACTGGACTCAAATCAGAATCAAATAAGTCTCCAGAAACACCACTGATCGATTTATCAACTAAAGGACTAGACATAGACTGCTATATCGGTCAGAATCACCCCTGCCAATCGGCCCAAAAATACTAGCAGATTGTTTTTTCTCTGGAATCTAAACAACAATCATCCGTCATGAAAATATATACAGTATATCAGTCAATTTCTAAATTAAACCCAAAAATATCTGCGCAGCAATGAAAAATATGTCCCCAAATGCAAATCAATAACTGTCAAGAACACTGAGTCGAACTGTAAACAATTTTTTTTTTGTCCAGATTGAAGAGATGATGTCACTTCTTGAGAGGGAGTTCAGTCATTAACTTTATAAGGCCCTGGGGCACGGAGGTATTTCTGGGTTCAAGCAGAAGGAAAAGAGCTTGACAAAACAGGCCTGCCCCTATCTTCTGGCATTGGCTCCCATGGCATAAAGTGACCTCATACAGGAAGTCTATGATTCCCTTGTTTCTTCCTGCGTGCGCTCCACAACAATGGCCTGTTTATCCAAATTTACAGTAAAGGCTTAGTGGGACCATGAAGAATAGAGTTAATGAATGCAGCTGTTGATGAATGAGTTGCTTCTCCTGTCTCCATGGCGCCTCAGTCAGTCCAAAGATACTATAGTTATTTACTGTATCGAGGGCATCACAGTGGGCACCTCCAACAATCAAGAGCTTTGACTCAGAGAAATAAATACATATGGCTTCTAATATTAAACATGGACAATACAGGAATTTAGCAAGCACTATGTAATGCACAAGAAAAAAACTTTCCTCTCAAAACCACATGTTTTTCCTTCAAAAATAGGTGGATAGAAATGTATTTAAAGCCTCCATGCTGATCACCGCAATCTGCAAGTAGAGATCACAACACCAACTTTAAATGTTACAATTTTGTGACAAGAAAACTCAAGATTTGTAAAAGTTTAATGTGATAAAACAGTATCGATATTGTGGGCTGCTGTATCGATATATCACCAAGAGTATATATATATATTTTTTTGTATATTTTACTAAAGCACTACAGTTTTGTTGCTTGTTCAGAGGAAGGAAACTCATTTATGCAACACGTTTGACATATTCACTGTTTTGATGAGTAAAATGTGTGTTTCATATTAACTTTGCACAAGAAGTGGTTTAACACAGACTTTTAGTATCACAGCCACAATTTAGGCATTAACTTTTACATCAAATCGCTTTGAAATATATCACATTGAACCGAAAGTGCACTGTATCGAGGTATGTAACGTATCATAGCCTATGTATCGAGGTATGTATCGTATCGCCATCGTATACCCAAGCCCTACTCACAACTGACTCCATGACCAAACCACGGCAAAATCCTTCATTCACTTTCACTGACATTGTCTAACAGATTACCATCGCTATGTGAGCAGGTTTATAAAAATTTACTTTTAAATAAATAAGTGACGTTAATGTGGCATAAACAGTCAGATAAAAAACCACTTTAATAATATGATCACAGTTATAGATAACTAAGGAAAACTGACATCTGCAAGTGGTTTGATCAATTGCACAGGCCTATCAAGCACTAAAAATACTACGATAAATGAATGGCCAGGCAGCCATCAGTGTAACAGCTGTTCACTATGAATCCTGTCTGGTTCATGTGGCATTCTGCTCTGCTCCTCTGGTTTAAAACATCAGGGGCTTTTAAATGTCCTCTACCTGGAAAGCTCACTTCCACTTCTTCTAGCGGCTATGTAATACTAAAATAACACATTTTCATCAGGCGGAGCAGTCAGGCAAATCTCTGTAAAACAAGCAAGTCCCCTGGTATCACAACCCTGGCCTTTTCAAACACACTCTCAAATAATACTGTTTTTTCTGTAAATATAACACTAAGTCATTCCCCTTAAGATCCATGGCCAACCGAGTTTGTTAACTTTTACAATGTGTTACAGAGACATTTAGACATATCACTACTACATCAGACTGTATGTTTAACTTAACCAACACATCTTAAACTGATACTGTTAACTCAGAACAGGCTATTACTTCAATACTCAGTAAACGTTTTGATGACAATGCCAAATGCTAATCAAAATGTCCCCCATTCAAAACCCACAGTAAAATCAGCTTGTATGTGGCCAGCGCAGGCAGCGGTGAGATAACAGAACCAGTTGTGCTGCTTGGCTGAGTGTCTCTGGGCCAAAGGCGTGAAGAGAAGGAGCCAAACAATGATCTCATCCTGAAATAATTGCTTCACTTGTGGCGGGCCCCCGTCCCTCCTCTGCTCGCCTGTACACAATGAATACAGGGCTTGGACCAAGTAACATCCAGGACATATTTCTATTCAATGGGTCATGAGACAAGCGGCGTGTCCATCATTTCCGCACTCAAATAAATGTACTTGTTATTTGTTAGCCCCATTGCATAATTGCCTCTGTCATTTTTCAAATACAAAAACAAACTGCCAATGTCAATAAGATGGTTGGAGCTGTTAAACTTAAGCAGTTACTCTATGAGACCAGAGGTTTATTCTAATTCTCTAATTTCTATAAAAGCAGTTTTTCTTCACTATAGTCAACTTTAATTTAATTTCAATTTACATAAAACCTATTTACCAATAACATAAATTACAGTGGATACTAATTTGAATTTCCTTGTTAACATTACAGCACCACCCTTTTTGGTACTGAAGCTGAAAAAGCTGGATTGGTAGCCAGGCTGGTGCCACCTAGTGCCTCCGCTCAATTTAATTTCTCTCCAGTGACTAGGTCAGGAATTGGAATACACTAGACAGTTTGATAGAGCCAATCAGCGAAGAGCTGTGAAGCCATGACGTCAAACTCAAGCGCCTGTCTGGGTCCCTTTTGTGGTACAGCACAACAGTAAACAAAGCGGTCGAAATGGATGTAGACGAAGCCATACATTCTGTGTTGGCATCGAGGATTTAAAGCCAGAACAAAGAGAATGTTTGGTGAATTTTATCAAGGGGAAAGACGTTATTGTCCTTCTTCCTACAGGATTTGAGAAAAGCTTAATACACCAGTTAGACCAGTCATGACCAAATAGCAGTGACTGGTTAAATAAAAAATGACCCGCGTACCATCGAGCGAACGAATCGTAACGCTGCGAGATTAGACGGTTTCCATGAAGTGAAACCCGTTGATGAATCAGACTACTGGATAGGTGCATCCCTAAAAAAAATAACTACCATGTTGATTTAAACTGTTCTGCCACTTAAAATTATTACCACTGTCAATTTTATTTCAGAGTGGGGGTCCTGAGTTGGTTACACTAATAATTTGGGGGCCTGAAATGTTTGGAATCCCCTGGTCTATTGCTCATTGAGAAATCAAACGTTAGCAGCATATTTCTTAACACAGCTGTGGTAAATACTTATGGGGTTTATGTCATTCACCTGCAGCGCTTCCCTGTTGAAGAGTGAGTTGCGTTGAGTGAAACAGTCAGTTTGGGGTGTAACACCTGGGGAGTCTTCAGCCTGAGACACTGGATCAACGTCTTTCCTCAAAGACTCAGTTTCAGGTGAGGAAATCTGCAACGACAGAAACAACATGTACTTATTAAGAAGTGTCACAGTAAATGTTTAAACTTGTTTGTCATACTAGGGACTGGGAAGCATTTCACACTTTTCAACATTTGGACTAAACACGGAATAAACTCAGTGCAAAACCTGAACTAGATCAGGACTAAACCAGGACTAGAACAGAACCAAACTCAGAACTGAACTGGCTCAAATCCAAATCAAGCTTGATAATAATAGAGTAAAACATAATAAAAACACTATTCATTCTTCTTTATTATTAATTTATTAATATTATAATAAACATTTTAAGACAATGGAATATGATTTTTTACTTAAAATAATATCAGTGTTATTCACCATTTAATCTTTTACTGGTTTTAATCAAAATAAAACTATTCAAGGTTTATATATGTGTTATTCTATGTGATTTCTTTTTTTTTGTTTTTTTTTGTTTAAATAAAGTTTCAATAGCGTACTAGTTTTGGTATTGATTAGCCTGGGTTTAAATTTTCTGGGCAAACCTAGTAACTATTCAGATCTTTGAAGCCAATTAGGTGAAGTGAAAGGTTACATGACTTTAATTAAAAAGCAGTGGTCCTCTTCCGTTAAAATAATCAGTCAAAGAAATGTTAGCACCATCATGTCTCAACTGCAGACATTATAAACACACTGACTCCAATTCCCTTCATAAAATCACTGTTGTAACCAATACTGTACATGGCACTGCTTCCCTAATGGACATGTTATTCTTGTGGTTGTCTAATCAGGAAACATCTGAGCACTGAGGAAATGAGCCTGTACAGATTCTTGGATGTCTGCTCTTACAGGTAAACATCACCTTGAAAGGAATTTGGCAATAAAACTACATCCTTCTCATTCCTGCATCCTCCTACAATTTTATCAGCCGTGCCATTCGGATTCAGAAAAAGAGCAGGAAAACTAGGCATTGTTATGGTTATAAAATAAGTAAAGTAGTGATGAGAGGAGTCGATTTAAAGATTTAAAGGGTCCATATTACGTTATAATGTTGCTTCCTCATCAAAAACAGACCACTCACACATGGTTAACACGCACATCCTGCAGATTCTCTCATACTAAAAACACAAACACAGGAAGAGCTCCACTGTGTTTTTGAAATCCGTACACTTTCACTACAATCATATGGATGATTTCAGCCCTGGAACTGCCAATCTCCACAGAACAAAAAGTAAAAGATAGATTTTAAAACTGTGGAGATGCAGACAGACAGAGGTTAATCAAACGTGTGAATGAAACAAAACTCAACTTCACGTATGTTTTGGTTTTGGATGAGGTAACACAGCATTATAACATGTCTAAAAGCTCACATTTTGGATAATATTGAACCTTTAAAGTGTTAAAAGGTGAAATAAGGCCACTGCTGTGTCAGAGTGTTTGTATTACCAGTCGTACCATTGGCTTTTTTCTTTTGTTAACATCTTCCCTGACCTCATGTTTTCCAGTGGGCCTTGCCTCTGCATGGTCTGCTCCACTCGCTGTTATAGAGCAGCTTTATCCACAATGATGACTTCAACGGGGGAGGACTGGCCAAATTCAACAGCTCACTGACTTTTAACAATATCCTTCAATATGTGGCACGGATTAAAAATTTGTTTGGAAGTTTAGGCCCGAAAAAAATAGACGTTTGTTTTAACCATCCGTATAACTCAATCATGTTTTTAGCCATAAACAAATGACTGACACACGCTGTTGAGACGTAACCCAACCCCAACCCAAGCACACAACAGTAACATTTACAAATGGTTTATCTTTTTAGGAGCCATGTTGTTTTAATACGCATTTTAACTGATTACTGACTGATTTGCACAAATACATTTAGCGTTATTATCCTCGGAGCGTGTGTGTGTGTGTGTGTGTGTGTGTGTGTGCGTGCGTGCGTGCGTGTGTGTGTGTGTGTGTGTGTGTGTGTGTGTGCGTGTGTGTGTGTGTGTGTGTGTGTGTGTGTGTGTGTGTGTGTGTGTGTGTGTGTGTGTGTGTGTGTGTGTGTGTGTGTGTGTGTGTGTGTGTGTGTTACCTGCAGCTGTGGCCCGGGCTGCTCCGCGCGCGCGTCACTCACGTGGGGCTGAGTTTGTGCCGACGCCTGCTCTTCGTGTTCTTCGCAGCTTTCTTTTCTCAGCAGCACCTAAAATCACCCATAAAGATACGCTAACGTCACATTGTAAACTTCGTACTCAAGGTAATCTTTTGTTATCTAAGTAGAGGAAATTACATGAATCTGCACACATAGATTACATGCTGCTTTGTTATGCTATGTTAATTATAGCCTAATGCTCTGTGCGTCAAAATAATATTTTAGCCTAACTAAAATACCTAGCTCACTGTAAATCCATTAAAGCTATCCCGTTTTAAATCCCTTTATTTTGGGTTTATTTTTGGTAATCATAACTTGGTATTCAGTTCCTACACTTCCAAAACGTTTGTTATTTAAGCAAATATTACAATATGACAATTACAATTACAATTACAAATAGCCTATCCAGGCTAAATGTGATATATTGTTAAATTCAGTTTTATCTTACCTTGAATTGAGATGTTGGTTTATTCTCGCAGCTCACTCCCACTATCCTGGGTAAAGTTTGTGGAGTGGAGCTGCTGTTGTTGTTGTTATTGTTGTTTTCTGTGGTCCCTTGCACAAACACACACGCGGTCTTGTTCACTGTCCTGTTCTCAGGTCGGTCCTTGTTTCCAGAGATGGTGATCTTCTTGATGGAGCGGGCAACTGCAGCAGCTGAGCAGATGTTCTGGTTGAGCTGGTCCTCTGCTGCCATGTCCGTCTCCTGTCTCACTGCAGACTGAGGCTGTACCGGGGACAAACGGGGTCCATTTGCACACACCGGGGAGCGGCTGAGGTAAAGAGAGTTCAAGTTGTGCTGCAGCGTGCAGTTATCCAAACTCGGGCTCTGTAGATAATCTGGTGCAAAGTCCTGACACTTTGACACAGCTGGGACAGACAGCCTGGTCCCTATGGTGAAGGGCTGGACCTTCCTCACTATGCTCTCAGACATGGCTTGGTCCCAAACACAATATAGTCCAGATTCTGTAGTCCAAATGATCCTCAGGAGTCAGGACAAAGTCATTCACATCCCTCACAGTCCTCTCTCCACTCCTCCTTGTGTCAGTCTGTTGAGCAGCGAGTGAAAGCACAAGTGAAAGTGGGCTGGAGCTTAGCTCTCCACCTTCTTGTGCATGTTGAGAATGCACAGCACACAGCCCAGGATGGCCTCTTTAGACTCCTGTGAGCGGAGACGCTCCCAGACGTGGCGGAGTGCTGAGCCCAGATGAGCAGCGCCTGAAGAGAGGGCTCTCCTGAGGAACTGTGCCACTGAGCCTGCCAGTCTGCTACTGAGCAGCCTGATAACCAGGGAGCGCAGCAGGAGCAACACTGCTGGCATGCTGCCTGACTGCGCTGAGCAGAAAAAAAAGTAGAAAAAAGGAGGGGAAAAGCAGAGGGCTGGTTAAGTGAGTGGATGAAGTCACCAGCTCTCCATTCTAAACTATTCTCTCTCTTTCTGTCTGTCAGGAATGACAAAGTGAAGAGGGCTGTAAATGCTGGCTGTCAAAACTTCCCCCCTGAACCTAAAGTCTCAGATAAGAGACATGCAGTAATGAAGTCAGAGCACAGACCCTGTCAGACCTCTTCACTCACAGCTTATCCTCCATGAGGTAATATCCTCAGGCTGCAGCACTGGACTCACACCCACACGGCCCGACCTTACCCCAGGAACACAGAAGAAGCTTTCCTCTGTCCCTCTGCTCAAAGCACTAAACAAAAAGAGCTTGTTTTAGACTATCTTCTTCCAGCCTCTGAGGCCTATGTGAGCGCTGACTGTGCGGGAGTGAAAGTGAGATCCTTAGCTTTGGACTTGACTTTTGCCTTTAGTGAAGCACAGTTGTCACATAAGTTACAGCTGAGGTCTTGGTCCAGCCTCTTTAGCAGAGTGTTTGGAACGACACACATGTGGAGGAGGGGGGTCAGTCAAACAGATGATGACCCCACAGCCCTGTGAGGTGGCTGGGCTTCAGCGCAGCACATGTTGGCCTGAATGATTGGTATGTCGGGGTGCTGTGCGTTTGTCAAGGGAACAGGGATTACCACAGAGGGCAGTGCAAAGAGAAAATATTTGCAGAGAAGAGAAAGGACACATTGGCGAAGCTCTTCCACAAAAGGAACTTTCTCTTTTCACTTTCAAGATTCCTGAAGTGACCCTAACACCTGGTCCTCCTGTTGGTGGAGCTACATCAAAACATGTTCAGTGAAACAAACATGAGTGTGTTTATTACGTATCCCATTTACAATATTAAAAATATTAGCAAAGGAATTTTGGTTGATCACAAACACTTATAAGATTACACAAAAATCTAAACTTCAAGATACTAAAAGTGAAAAACAAAAAAATCTGTTCAGATTTTAGTTTTACAATTTGAACAAGTTATCATTGTTTTATTTTGTTTTTCTCTTTTAATACTTCTATGCCATAAAACAGAACAAATGAGTCAGTTAATTAGTTTAGATTATTGTCTCCAATGTTTTTCACTAAATTCATTTTCAAAGTTGCATCTCAGACACTGTTTAAAATATACACCCACATTTAGTCTTTGTTTTACCTTTAAGTCTATCTAAACAGACAATCCAAATAGAGAGCAATTAAGATTATAATACTGTACTGTAACTTGGTGGGGGGTCTGGCTCTATGGAAATACAGCATTACGCTTATCTAACATGCATTTAAAAACATGTCTTCTAACTGTGAAGGCATGTGGTGACCTCTCCAGATAAGACCTGAAATTTGGCAACATCTGATATCTCCATGGAGAAGTTTAATGCCATACAATATTCCAGTCCAGCTAACAACTGACTTTTTCTTTTGCTGTTCTGGGCAAAGCAATATAATCTGTATGGAGACAAACAAGTAGCAGGCCCTCCATCAGAAATGCTCCACAGTGCATCTTTAAATGCAGATTTACCCTAAAAATCCTCAACCTTGACCTAAAAAACCTCAAAATCAGAATATCTTTTTTGAATAACACAGTTTAAAGGTCCCATATTACACTTATCCAAAGGTTGGCAGCTCAAAACTCGCTCTCGACATAAAACATCATTGGTTGAGCAGTCAGATCCACTGACCCACAGGTTGGCAGTGTGATTCTAGCTGCCACAGATAAATGCTGTGGATGTGTCCTTGGGCAAGAAACTTAACCCACCTCGCCCCTAGTGCCCACTGGTGTGTGAATGGGTGAGTGGTTCCTTGTTGAAAAGTGCTTGAAGGTGGAAAAATATGATATAAAAATTTTGTTTCTTCAAAAACATACCCAGAAATGTGCTTTGTTTCATTCACGCATATTTGAGTAATCCTTTATTATTAGTCTGTCTACATCTGTCTACAGTCTGTCTCAAAATGTTCTTTTCCACCATGTGATGTCATGTAGTTTTCAAGTAAACCACCTTTAGTTCAGTAAAGCAGGCAATTCCAGGGCAATCTTCCAAATCATTCAAATGATTCTAGTGAAGGTGTATGGAGTTTAGAGACACAATTGAGCACTTCTTGTATTGCCACAAGACATCACAAGTTGGAACAGAGTGTTTTCAATTTAAGAAAATAACCCAGCCTCAATATGCAGTGATAATGTGTTAAATATGTGTGAATGAACCAAAACAAAACTCCAGGTACTTTCTTTTTTGATGAGGAAACAGCATTATAACATAAATCAGAAAATAACGTAATATAGGCCCTTTAACCATGACCTAATAGTTCAACATATAGAAGAGCAGTTAATTTTACTAGCCACAACTCTGCTACTGCTTTCCATCTCTACTATGATTAACAGTGAAATATAAGGCCTTACAGAAAGTTCGCCAAAATGAGTTAATCACTTACTTCATTTACTTACATAACATGCATTAAGAAGAAAACCATACATGGCGCTGTGTTTTGAGCTTTACTGTTATATGTAGTAGCCATGGACTCGACATGGTTAACTGAGCACTGGGAACAGATCTGGTTTCACGGTGAAGTCATCTGAGGAAGAGTTTTAATGTGTTGCAGCTTGAAAGGAGAGATAAATCCACTGTCGACTCAAAGGGTGGAGTTCAAGAGGTTCGGGCCAAGTTTAAAATGCCATTTCCTCATATTGGTGACCGAATGTGCAGTTTATGTGTGCAGTGGTTGCTCTATGGCGTGACTGAGCTGAAATCTAAGAAGTGTGATAATTGGAGCCTGTGAAAACGTTATGTCATGATGGGTTGTAATTTACTATGTTTTATTATATGTATGCAAGACGGGACAGAAATATATCTTTGTAATGGTTACTTACAATATTTGTTTTTTCTTTATATAATTGAAAGACTGCATCCAATAGTAACCATTTCATGTGTTTTACATAGTTTACATGTGGATAAAACAATTTAAGAAAAGTTGCACTACCAACTTCTATCCTACAAAGGGAATTAGAGTTTTGATACTTGCATTTTGACATTATTTTAAGTTAAATATTCTTTAACACTGCCAAATATTGTTGTTTGAAATGCTATGTATGGAGTCAGAAAGTGTGTTCATGTAGAATTCATGAAGAATTTGCTGATTACATGGGTGATTTTATAGTTGATTTTGGCAACTTTAGATTTTAAACTTTATGCCCGTTTTGTTTCATGTGAATAAGTCCATGATTAGGCTACAGAAATATTAACCAAATATCAGTTAAAATACAAATTCTACCAAAATCTATCTGTGAGAAGGCCTGCATCTCCATTTTAAACAATAAGCAGTTCAAAATGTTGTGACGTAATGTGAGCGAAACTGATATGAAAACCATCCGAGCTTTAGTTTCTAGGCTTTGTTTAAAAAATAGTGTTTGCTTAGCGTTACCATGAGATCAGATTTGAACCAGGTGCCTTACCTCCGCCCGCAGAGCCTGATCAAGCTACTGTAACACCTTCCTTATGTTGTTTATTCTGGAAATCCTCCCCTCTGCTCTGCATTGCGTTTAATGTGCCATGCTTGAGTGTTGGTACCCACATCCCGTTGAAATAATTAGGATGTAAGCCTCAGTCAACCCTAGATCTAAAAAGCACCTTTGATTTGTCTCCCTTTATTTGCATCTTTGAGGATTAATGTAAAAACAAGCCGTGTCTGGCCTCACGCTTGATACCAGGGCCGCCCAAGACGATAATGAAAACCTGATGTGTTGTTAGCGCAGGCCCCGTGCTTGTTAGATATCCCCTGTTTTATTGAAGTCTGTAAATATGACTTGTGAACCTCTTTTCAAAGGGTGATGTCACTGTACGGCCTGCATGAAAGCTGACGGATGGCTGCAGCATTGGGGGAAGATGTATGAGAAGCTGGAGGGGGTCTGTACTTTTCCACTCGGACGATGTCATCGCAGAGGTATGATAGGCCCGCTGGTTTGAGTTTCACTACAGATAAGATGGACCCGTTTTGTGGTCTGCATCAAAGAAATTATGAAGCTCCAAAATGATAAACGGCGGTTTTCACACCTGTGCAGTCTGGACAAAAGGAGGCGTCAAAGTGGTCGTTCATATCATAGGGCTTCTGTAGTTCAAACGGGCTTTATAATTCTGGAAAAATCATGAGTTTGGGAAGATTTTTGTGAGTTCAGTTTTGAAACAGAAAGGAAGATATGATAAATCTCTTGTCAGTCTTGTCACTTTTGTAATATATTGTATCATATATAAAAGACCTCTGAATAAAAACAATTACGGTTTAACAGATAAGGTTTATTTTTAACACTGTGTTGAGTCTGAAATAAATATTAAATATATTTTAAGATATTAGCCATCTTTTTTATGGTATGCCAATATTGCTTTAGTGCTATGTTTTACCTTTATGAGACGAAAAGTAATTAAATACTAACATGGTATTATACTAACATAGCATTGCGACAAGAAAGTGTATCTCTGTTGCAGCTCCAATTAAATGTTTTAACCACTATTCTTCTTTTTTAATTCTCTTTTTAATGACATTTGACCTGCCATGGGGATTTGTCCTGTTGCACTCTGCACAACAGATTGCAGACAGTTGGGCATGACTCCAGTAAGACATAAACGCTATGGGATCTTACATCATGTATAGCGAACCCTATCTGCGAATCTAAAATTACAGAATTCTTTTGTTGTTGCGCGTATGTCTGAACCTACATCTTGACTGTGACCTCTCTGTACTCAGACGGTTGCCCCTGGGCTCCTCAGTCACTGGAGTCAAGTTTATGGCCAGATTGAAATATAAACAGATTACAAAAGAAGTATTCATGACATAATATCCACATGAGGGCTCTGTGGAGTTCAATTTGTCAACAGTTTGGATTGGGACATGCCGTACATTTGAACACACTTCCTCAGATGTGGGTAGGAGCTAGTACATTTACTCAAGTAACATCA